CCCCAAAACCCCAAAACCCCAAAACCCCAAAACCCCAAAATATATAGTTCAAGTTGAAATTATCAAGAATTTTATGAGTTTCATGACAACATCTTCTTTCTCTTCAGTTTATTACATTGGATTTCCATCCTGACCATCTTTGGATTGGGGTTCAGCACTTCTTTATGGTACTCAGAGATTATCTTCCTGGCTTCTCGGCTCTCATCCTCTGCTTCTTCAAGCTTCTCGAGGTAGGCATCCTCCAAAGCTTTGCAAAGTTGACCATCTGGATGGTAAAATAAGTATACTTACTACTATTACGCAGCATTCTGGATGTGTTAATGTTCTCTAGGACTTGGTCAAAAGCTAAATTCATCTTCCTCATGTCTGTAATAAATAAGGTTGAGATACTTACATAGTTTGGCACCAGAAACCATCTTGCTCCCACTCATACCTCAGTTCTCAGACTCATTCATAATATTCTGCAATTTCTGTAAGTGGTTTCGGTTGCAAAATGAGAATCTGGGTTTGCGAAAATTGGTTGAGCTGGTCCTAGGTCTCACAGTTGGAGCGCTTGGACTCTTATACCTCCTTCCACTAAATTTGGTTATGCAAGAGTAATTTCAGGTAGCTTACCCTCTACTTCCAAGTAAGGAAGACTTCGGGCTTTTCTGAATGCAGTATTTTCTCTTATCCTACACAATAAACTTATTTTAATACTCTTCCAATTCTTGGGCTCATTAATCTCTTTAATATAGAAGACTTTTTGACTTTAAGGCCTCCTGAAGGCTGAGTCTCGGGTCCTAAAAATTAAGTCAAGAATAGAGTACGTTTCTTCTTAAAAAAGCTACAGGAGTCCTTTTCTTCAGCTTCCACAAACTTATTTTCAAAAATAGTCTTTATGTTAACTCCCGATCTCATCTTGGACATCTTAGTCCGAGACTTGTTCAGGGAGCTTTCTTCAGACAAGATTTTCTTCATCTCTTTCTTCAGCTTCAGGCTTGAAGCAGGCTTCCCATGCCTGACGCTAAGCCTTGATTTCGAAATTCCGAAAGGAGAGTTGACTTCTCTATTCCTCAGCCTGTTGATGTCGAATTTGGTCTTCAAACGCTGCACGAATTGACGATTCTTATGCACGTAAAATGCTATTGGCTCCTCAGCGAGGCTCTGTACCTTTATTGGTTCATCGGAAGATCATAATTAATCTTCAAATCAAAGCGTCCTTTGATCATCTTGTTCACCTTCTCTCGCTTTTCAATGTGAAATTTGTCAAGAGGGATCATCACCGAGTACAAGTCTGAAGAGTCATCTTCTGGTTTGGCCTCAAAGCTATTATAAGGTTAAGAAATTCCTAAAATATGGTGTAGTTTTCAGGCAGAAAGATTATGTATGAAAACCAAAGCCTTACTTCACCTGCTCCTCGTCTGTGGCAGCTGGAGGATCTTCTGAAGTAGCATCTTTCTTAAAACAGTCAGTGGATTTTGCCTTTACCATCTCCCTCATGATTATTTTATCAACCGCCTGAAAGTATGGGACTTCATTTTCATCGGTTGGTACCAGATGCTTACTATACGACTATATTAGCACCAAGGAAGTATTTTTGATATCGTAAGCCTTAGGAGGCATTCTTAAACCTTACTTTTGATCTCGGTTTTTCTTAGGCAATATCGCAGTTGTCCTAACAAACTTGATTTGGGAATCCCTAAACACTTGGGTAAGCATTAAATCACAAGGAAATTATGACTAAAATATTTTTTGACAGCTTAAAAAAGAAAGCATCAAATTATGTTTCCTAATACCCATTGGCACTCCAATGCTACCTACCCATTTTTATTTTGCTGTTCTTTCATTATTCAATCTTATATTTATCTTTTGGGGTTTTGGGGTTTTGGGGTTTTGGGGTTTTGGGG